AAAACTGCCTAAATCTGTCAAGATTACGTACTTTTTAAAGTCCCAGCAGGGACATTTTGCCGAGGGAAGCATTGCTAACTTATAACTTGCAGCCAGGAGGACGCGGCTAACACAGTGATGACAGTTACATATTTGACGTCTTCAGGGACAATAAACAGTCAAAGAGACCGTCCATGAACACCAGTCAGAAATGTCATCGCTTTTCTGCCTCTGACTGTAGTTTGTCTTCATCTTGAGCTCCCTCTGCTGGTCACATCACAGTAAATCATTATCTGGACACTGCAGAGAGCTGCAGACGCCGCCTGTCCACTCGCTCCGGCAACGGCACAGCACCGGGCGGCAAATCGCCATGGCGACCAGCCCAGATTGCTGGTCACCACGGTGTGAGGTCAGTGTTTCCATGGCAATGGAGCAGATGAACGGTAATCCGTCCTTGTTTTTGCGCCGTGGAAACAGGACGTGTGGGTGGAGGCAGAGACGCAGGAAGGGTGGAGGAGGTGGAGGAGGTGGAGTCGTGAGCATGTTAGCATGTGTGTGATATCACTCTCTCACCAAAGCTGCACCCTCACCCCCCTCCCCTAAATCCTCACCCTCCAGTCCTTTCCTCACCCCTCCTCCTCCCTTCAGTCTTAATAGCGAATTTGCAATCATGCACGGCAGATCAAGCAGGAGCGGAAGATTAAAACGCGCTGATGATCTGGAGCAAAGAAACGAGGTCAGGGCGAGCGAGCTGCGTTTCACTGCTGCAGGAAGCTGAGCAGTCAGGACACGACGGGAAGGACGGCGAAGGACAGACACACTGACACCGCCTCAGGTCTCGGCTCTGCACGAAACAGTCCGTGCTTTTATTTGACCCTTGTATGCTTTTATTTTGGAATTCACGCGTGAACAGTATACACTGATACACTTTAAAGTACACGCAGTGAGATTTAAATCAGTGCTTCAGATCAAAGACGGGTATAAAAAGATGAGGCTGCAGTTCCCCACAGCTGCCACCAGGGGCTAATAAAGACTTATTTCCCTGACACCACCTTTAATTGATCACATGATTAACGAGAACCCACGGCTCACAGGGGGATAAATCGCCTCGTTCCGACACTCCACGCTCTGTGCAGACATTCACAGCAGAATAAACTTTATTAAGCAGTTCAAAGAGGACGGGGAGATGTTCTGATGAATCTGGAGCAGTGCCTCCCATGTGTGGAAGAGAGGCGACCATATGGTGAAGGCGCATGAGCCAAGAGCCCGCGGCAGGGTAAACTCGCAGCGCGCTTCCTGAGTGGAAAAACACCAAATTTAGAAAACAGGTTTCTGTTTTTACAAACTGCAGCCGCTGCACATCCACTCCGGCAGCACATTTATCTTTTTTTTTTTTAACTCCTCCTCCTCCTCTTCTTCTCTCTGGCATCTTTCAAACACAGCAGCGGCTCCTGATTGGCTGGCTGAAAGGCTTGCTGTGAGGTGTGAGGGGGCGGGAAGCGGCAGCCAATCGCGTGCTCTCTCCGTCTCCCGGCCCCCTTTTTTTTTTCTTCCAAACCCTCCATGAATATTCACCCTCCCCAATCCCTCCCCCTCCTCTCCCCTCCTCCCTCCCTGAGTGGAAAAAAATCCCCTCTGAGATTTAAATCTGCCCCCTTCCTCCTCCTCCTCCTCCTCCTCATGTAGAAGAACAGCAGCCTCACACAACATGGAGGGAGGCAGCTCGCTTTGTGTCACTCACACAATAGACTCCACCACCACCTCCCTCCCCCGGCTCTCCTCCCTCCCCCGTCCTCCCTGCTTGCAGATTTCAGGTTGCATTGCAGCAGCTCGGCCTGCGCTGCAGCCTCTCTTCGCTCGCAGCTATAAATAACTCGGCAGCCATCTTATCTCTGCTCCTCTGCTTTGTTTTTTGTGCTGTGGCCCCCGTGGAACAGAGGAAGGGGAGGAGGGGCTCCAGGGACAAATGTGATGACGAAATTAGCCGAAGGCCTCGAAGCGTCAGCATTATGAGCTGCTAAAGAGAATAAGTGTTGATTACTGAGCTGCAGTCGCATTTCTGCTCGTTTTGCAGTCTGTTAACATTTAAAGGTCAAAAGGTCAGGAAGACTTCGCCTCTCGCAGCAGCGCTGCTGTGAGGCGGGCGGAGCAGTTGGTGGTTGGAGGTGTTCTCCTGTTTGTGGGTAAATAATTAACCTCCAGGCTGTTGTTTGGAGCCTGTGTCTGTGCTGGAAGAGGTCCCGTCACTCGCGGCGTGTCAGAGGACATTTGCATCACTTTGAGTCTTTCTGAGACGGCCCCCCCCCGCGGTGCAGATGGTCTCTTATTTAGTCCTTGGAGCTCAGTGGGCTCGTTCACAATGAACAGCAGCTGTCGCTCTCCCAGCTCCTCTGGAAAAGCCCACCTCTCTCCTAATGGTGACCTTCTGTCTGCTCCCCAGCAGGATTGGGGGCTTAGCGAGCTGACTTCAGGTTACAGCTTAAAGGTTGCAAAGGTGGTTACATGCTGACCAATCAAATCTCTGGAGGATCGAGTGGATCACTGTGGCGCTGTGGACTGTAAAGACTGTAAAGCATCACACAAAACCCAGTTCTATCTGCAGCGAGCCGGAGCAGCAGAGCTGAGCCACACTGCTGTCGTCTCTTTGTTTCCTACATTGAACAACCCAACAAACTGACGCATCGTTTTCCTTCATCATAAAGAAACTCTGCTTTAGTAAATAATAAAGCCGGCAGTGTGGCTCTCTGGGCTCTGAAACACTTTCTCTGTTAATTCATCAAAAATAAAATAAATTTTTACAAGAAAATGAAAATAAAAACAACGAAAAACAGGAAATGTTCAGTTTTTAAATGAATATGAACAATAAAAAACAAACACCTTTGTTCATAAACTTCCTTCAAAGGTTGGAGCTGCTCTGGTGCTGTGTGACAGTAAGACTGTAAAACTGATCCAAGTGCAGGCAGTACAGTCCTAAACATGAGCCCCCCCGGCCTCCTGTGCCCCCGGGCTTGTGTTTGAGGTCTTTGTCTTCAGGAACAACTTCTTTATTTTGCCCTCCTGATGTGATATTTATGCTCCATGAGCTGTGATACGAGCCGTGATCGGGGCACCTGGTCACAGGTAAGCCTGCTGACTGCTGTGCAGGTTGAACCCTGCAGGGCTGCAGCCACACGAGCATCAGCAACATCAGCTCGCTTTCATTAATTTAACTCAAGTCACAGCTGTAATTATGGCACAGCTGTCACACTGACGAGTCTATTAGCATCGTTTTATAGGCACCGCTTGTGCCCCGTGAAAGATCAGCTGTACGGTGCCTACTGAGCTTAACTGCTTCAGTTTTCTGTTTTGTCGATGAACCCTACGTTTGTCTGTAATGCCATTTTAAATGAAAGTGTTGGAACGCCCTCCACGCAGCCTCTGACATTAAACTGTTGTGAAACTGTTCAAATGAAACTAGACGGAGTACTTTTAGAGAAACTAGCATCAGATATTGAAGGCGTAGCTGTTTGTAAGTCAGACGACGGCGTGTCTGCATGAATATTAACGAGCTGTCAAACGTGTTGGATTCAGACGCAGGAAACTGGCTTTAAAGTCGCATTTACATGCAAGAAATCAGACTCAAGGTGACCTCGCAATCTGCAGTGACACACAGCAGGTTTATCATATTTTACACAATTCAGTTATCAAAATGGGATTTTACCCAGCAGCTCCCGACCCCAAGCATCACGTCTGGGTCGTCTTTGAGCCGTCAGCAGGTCCGATTCAGCTCCCCTCCAAACCTCACATCACAGTTTGATGTCGTATCGATCGATGGTGCCACGTTTTCACGAGCCGACTGATACGGAAACACTTCGATCTGCGTCATGAGGTCATTTTCACTTGCATGCGTCTCGGCCCGGCGGTTCCTCGTGCTCGTCTCTTTGCATATCTTTCATATTTTCTCAGACTTCATGTTGACATGACAACATGTACAGTCATGTTTTTCACGCTGTGCTGCAGTGATGGTTTTGTAGGAATTTTTCCCGCTCTGATTCAGCTCATTGAGGTTTGCAGGTGTGTGTTTGTGCACGGTGAACTCTGAACTATTGCAGCAGCAGCTTCTTTTCTTTCGCTGGTGGAGATCTGCTGCTGTGCTCGGATCATCGTCCTGTTGTGGTCCCAGCTTCAGCTGAGGGACAGACGGCCTCACGATCTCATTTGTCCACTCAGGGACTGCAAAACAAGCCCAAACTCCCCCTCCACCGTGCTCACTGAGGCGTTTGTGCATCGTCCACTTTGGTCTCGTCTGGCTAAAGGACATCGTTCCAGACGTCTTGTGGTTGGCTCAGATGCAGCTTTCAAACCTAAGCTGTGCTTTCAGTCTTTTTTTCCATGAACTTTAACCTTTGACGTGCTGACAGAGGCCTGTGAGTCTGGCGCTCTTGGGTTTGTAGCGGTTTCTCTGAGGACTGTGGGTCTGACCTTGGGGTGAACTCGTTGGGAAATCCACTCCTGATGTCTTGTGTCACTGTGTTACCAAACAGCCCAACGTTCCACATCTGCAACCTGCCCAAACCTTTGCTTTTATAGGCGTTCACACTTTCTGATGTTCAGTTAACATGTTTGACTTTCGGCTGCTTCCTCACCCTGTCAGGAGGAGGGTGAGGAAGCAGCGCTTCGTTTGGTCACATCACTGTAAACGCCTCCAAGTACTTTAATCAAACCTGTGAAATCAACTGTGTTGCTGCAGCTTTGCTCTCATTGGTCCTCGATTCTCCAAATCTTAAACACCTGAGAAGGAATTTCTCTGAGATTACAGATTACAGACACGTTCATGGCTCGCTGTGCTAAGTGGAGCAAAGTCCTTTGAATAAGACCGTCAGCACTAAGGAGCATCAAGAGCTCCGTCTTTTAGCTCTGCATGCGTCACAGTTCAAAATAACCAGTGTTCCTGTCACACTGGGCCTGTGGTCACCTCACTGTGTGTAACATCCACCAGTGGAGCAGAAGGAGAGTGAATAAAAACATGCGAATGCAGCAAGTCTCCAAAGAACTTCATATTTATTCAGTATAAATTGTGTAAGTGCTCAAACATGGATCCGTTCATACAAACAAACTGCGGTGTGTTAGAGGCGCACTGACAAATACTGGCCGGCATTAACGACGGTGACTCAGCAGGGTTTGAGGTTTTATGTTGAATGAGACGCTTATCGAAGTGTTACAAAACAAAAGCTGCTGCGAGCGCTGACTCACCGCAGCTGACCTGCCGACGGCGTCCAGGAAGCCGCTGGACTCCGAGTCTTCACGCGAGGCGGCGCCAGGCCGAAGCGCTCACCTGCTCCCTGTCGGACAGCGTCAGCACGGACAGGTGGACTCATTCTATCGTCCTCCTGCAGTCTGACGGCAACACGCCTGCATTTACGATCACACGTCAGACGCAAACGGCGGCTTTAACGCCGGAGACCAGAGTTTGTTTGTTTGAGTTTTCTGACAAAGTAACAGAAAAACGTTCTGATAGTGTTTGAAAAGTTCAGAGCGACACGTCAAACTGTTACTTTGAGCACGGCGCTGTGCGACAGGTCACGCAGAAATTAAGCTGTGCTAATGAAAAGTGTTCATGAGAGGAAGTTCGAAAACTCCGAAAAGCAGAAGGCTGCATCAGAGAGGAACTACTTCACACAAATAAAAAGCTTTTCCTGATTCTACAAAAAGGAGAAAAACGTCTGTAAATGTTACATTATCAGATATGAAATCAGGCTCGGTGTCATGGAAACGAAGCGGATCACCGATAAACCTGCTGTGGGAGGTAAACAGGGCCGGCGGGGAGAAGACGGGAGAAGACCGGAGGGGTTTTCTTTCTGCAGAAGCAGAACTGAAGGAATGATGAGAAGCAGCTTCTTACTTCTTCGAGAGCGACAAACTGGAAGACACAAAGAGTCAAACGTTACAAACGCTCCGTGGACAGCACGCCAACATCGTGGTTATTGTGCAGGTGTACACTCCAAAAACACCTCCGATTGACCTCGTAAAGACCCGTAAATCCAGGCCTGAAGCTCGGCAGACGCCACAACGTGCACGAAACAAAAACAATGTCATGTTTGTGGGTTTTAAATCGGACTTTGAGATCCCATCTGTGTAAACTAGGGGCTGGGCACTGGTGCCAGACTGTCAGCAGGTTTACATAAAAACCACAAAGCTGAACGTCGTGAAACTTAAATAATTTAGATTCAAATCCTCCCATGTTGCCAGGTCCAGTCTGCATCCACCGACCTCACAATTACTCATTAAAACACCACAGGCTGAGACATCAAACACTAAAACTAAATCAAGTACAAAAAAAAGTATATACGTGCGAGTCAGACACTCTTTACTGATGCTGTAAATATTAATGTGCAGTTGTTTATCCAGCTTCCTCATTATTGTAGCAACTCCAGAGTTTAGACTCTTCCAGCATCGACTCCTGTCAGGTCAACATGCGACCGCAGCAAACAGCGCAGACTGCGTCGGGGCTTCGACGCAGGACTACAAGTTAAACTTAAAGGTTTCAAACGTGATGTGGAAGAAGTGTGGCCACACTCAGCTGGCGTCTCTGTGACTGTCATGCTTCATCGGACACTGAGTAACCGAGAGCTTTGACCTCATTGGTCCAGTGAAAAAGGTGAACTTACTTGAAGCTTTTGCTGTCCTGCAGGTTGAGCACCAGGCTGTCGGCGTTCAGGTACACTTTGTTTTGGGACTGCGCCACCTGCAGGTCAAACACAGAGTGAGCAGAGAGAAAACACAGGTGGGAGGCAGCCTGCAGGCCTGACCGAGCACAATGGGAACACTGTCCGAGTCTCAACACTGAGCTGATTCACAGCAGAGCGAGAGCTGCCGAGCACGCTCGCCATCCATGTAGGAGACGCATGACGCCAGCCCAACGCCCGGGCCCGATGACGTTCCTGCCGCGTGAGAGCGATCACGCCGCCGTGGAAAAGGTGCTCAGAGCTGCTGATGAATGAGCGTCATCAGTGATCCTCTGGTGGAGACAAACACTCGCACGGTGTCTCAGTCACTGCTAATTATCACCATCACATTAGCTCTGATAGATTTAGTCAGTCTGAATGAAGCTGCAAACGCCACAGCGACGGCGAGCGCACCGACACGGAGCAGAGCCAGAGAGATTTCTCCCACATCAACTTCTCTTCACCGCAATTTTAAATCCTGCTCGTCACAAAATCTTAAATAATCAGGCCCCATCTTATCTTAATGACCTTGTAGTACCATATCACCCTATTAGAGCACTTCGCTCTCGCTCTGCAGGCCTACTTGTTGTTCCTAGAGTATTTAAAAGTAGAATGGGAGGCAGAGCCTTCAGTTTTCAGGCCCCTCTTCTGTGGAACCAGCTTCCAGTTTGGATTCAGGAGACAGACACTATCTCTACTTTCAAGATTAGGCTTCAAACTTTCCTTTTTGCTAAAGCATATAGTTAGGGCTGGACCAGGTGACCCTGAATCCTCCCTTAGTCATGCTGCTGTGGGTCTGTACTCATCACCTGACTCTGCTGCGAGTCTCTTCCTGTTAAAAGGTTCTTCCATCCCACCGTCACCAACTGCTGTTCAGTTTGTTCAGCTTTTCCAAATTGTAAAGCTCCTTAACATTTATACAAGTAAGTAAAACTTGCAGATCTTGGTCAAAATGTGTGAAAGTAAAACAGGAAGAAAAAGGTTTCAGCTGCTGCAGTGCACGGCTCCATTTTAGCTGCACTGTGAGACAAGCAGCAGCATCTGCTGAGCAGAGAGCTGATGGATGAGGCCGGCGCAGGTGGGACGCTGGGTAGACGTTTGCGGCTGACATCGGAATAAAAACTCAAACATATCTGTGTTTTCATCATCCTCATCAACCTGCTCTCTGCTCTGATTGGCTGCTGAGGTTCACCTGTGTCTGAAGGGGGGCGGAGCGGCTCCGTCTCCTCTCTGCTTGCCTTCCACAGTTTCCATGTATGAGTCACAGCTCGCGATGAGGTCTGTTCACGGCTTCCTCCCTCGTCAGGTTCTCAGGATTTTATATCTCAAACTCTTTGAAACATCTTTGTGCTTTCATTCCTCTGAGCGACCTGTTTAACGTGTTTGCTTCATCAACGATTTGACTGTATTTTGTGTGAGTGCATCACTCTGCTTCACGAGGGTTTGTTTTTCCTGCTCGTCACTTTAAGTAGCCGACGTTTTCACCGTGATTTTGGTGCAAAGTCAACTTTAAAGCCTCGATGATGCCACGTTTCTCTTCTGTTGCTGCTCATCATCGTTTCGGCCTCGTCCACCTGATCTGCGTTCTTTTAAAACTGTCAAACGTTTAATTTAAATCCAGAATTAATGCTCGACATTTCCTGCTGTGGGCTGATGCGTGAGTGGAGGTCAAAGGTCAGAGCTGAGGACAAAAAGGACAGTTTACAGTCTGAGCCTTTTGTTTCAGTCCTGCTTTCTGTTACATTCCTGCTCTCTTGGCGCCACCTGGTGGTCTGGATCACACATGGCAGCTCAACACGGTCGAACTCGAACCAAACGTCCGGTCATTAATGAATAGAACAAATATCTGTGACTGTTCTTGTTCACGTCAGCTGCTCGGCTCAGCTGCTGGTAGTTACTGTACAAAGGGCGATTAACCAGGAGGACCCCACGCTGCTCCGAGTAACGAGTTTACTCTGGCGATGAGAATCAGACCGACAGTGAGACCACGCTGCTGCAGGAACACGTGTGATGTTTACTCTGAAGAAAACGAAACATCACATCAGGATCATCTGGTCCACGTTTGAGCCACCAAAGCCAAACTGACGAGTGTGAAACCTCCCATCAAACAGCTCTTCATCTCCCTCACAGAGGAGGAGGAGGGGCAGGTTAGAGGCGGGACTCTGCAGGTGTTTGTAGCACGACAGGTGAGCCGGCGCTGCTGCTGCTGCAACAACAGCTACACTAAAGCAGCGCTCTGGTTCTACTTTAGCTCCGTGTTCACAATCAGCTTTGCAACATTCTGGTGCAGCGAGTTCTCCGGAGCACCGACAGTCAGGATTTCTCTCCGACAGAGGCGGCTTGCCGAGCACGACGAGCTCCACAGCTGACAACCAATGACTGCTGAGCGTTTCAAACTATCGAAGACTGAAAGACGAGCACAAAGTGACCCTGAAAGGACCGAACACACAAAAGACTCACAAAACAAACAACCGAGAAAAAGAAGGGAAACAGGTGTGTTCGGTCTGTGAGAGACACCACCCACGCATCCGCCCTTTAGAGGAGGCCAGCTCTTCCTCTGTGGTGTCCACAGTAGAAGTGACGCTCGAGTGTCACAGGAAACGTCTTGAAACAATCATTTTAATCATCCTATCAGCGACCCTGCAGTCTCCTAGGAGACACACACAAGGTTTGACTTGACCTTTGACCTTGATGTCAGCTCCACCTTTGGTGTGAATTTCAAAATCCTACGTCACCTCGTTCTCGAGAAACTTATGTTTCCACGCCAACCCACCCGCTCCCACCCCCCAGCGGGTCACAACACCTCCCCTCTTTTACAGCTGATGGTAAATGCACGATGCAGCACAGCAGCATCACTGCGTCAAACATTTCCTCTCGCCTTTCACCTCCGCTCACTTTGTTTATTCTCCACCACGAGGAGTCACAGGAGGGTCCGCCTGACCAGTTTAAACCTGTTGGTTTAAAGAGAATCGTGATGTGACGAGTTCATCGGCGGCGCACGACTCTGCTGAGGTTCGTGCTCCTCGCCCCTGCTTCAGTGTCAGCAGGGTGCAGTCTGGGACGGGGTTTGTGCTTGTTTGTGCGTTTTTAAAGGGACAGTACGCAGAGGAGAACTGCGACTGTGTTTATTTGTGGGATTCTGTTTCAGGCTTTGAGGGTTAAGACGTGTCAAACAGACGAACATGGTGCGGGTCGTGTTTCCTACCGTCTTGGCGATGTTCTGCGCCGCCCGGATCTTCCTGAGTTTCAGGTAACCTGGATTCTTGGTCACGGCCTCGCCCAGCTGCAGCAGACACAAACAGGCTGTTAGTGAGCGCTACGCACCTGCAGGAGAGCGAGCGGCGGGCCGAGCGAGCCACTCCCAGCGCTCTAACGACGAGCGGGATCGAAGCTGCGGGCGTGTCGCCGCTCGGCTTTGCACGCACGTTGACGTGCAGAGAAAACAATTAGCACATTTTTGGATGAAGTGTTTGTTTGAGGTGTTTCTGGTTCTCACAGGCTGAGGTGAGCGAGCTCACACACATTTTACTGAAGCACACTCGCTTTGTTTTTGGATACCAACTCGTAAAAATCCTTGAAAGCGCTGAATGACTGCAGATGTTTAACAAAAACAACAGCTGGAAACAGCTGCTCTCACTGCTGCTCAGAGGTCGTCTGAGGCTTTACATGGACTCAGTCTCAGCTTCCTCACGCCTGAGATCTGCAAGTCTAAGATTCCAGGTTTGATCCCAGGAGGAGACGCACCTCACTGGGGCTGTGTCAGGAAACTCTGGAGGAGCTGCCCACTGTGGGGACCTGACTGGGATAAGAAGCAGCTGAAAGCACCACCAGCACAAAGATTCACGTCTCTGATCAGAGGCTGAAACGAGGAAACACGAACGTGTGGGTGGCGCTGCCGGACCCACAGCCCGGGCTGGAAGAGCCACATTACCTGATGAGCTAATAAATGAGGTTACAGTGAGCATGCTCAGTGCCTGATGTGCTTTATGCTGCTTTCAGTGACGCGACAGACGTTACATGTACTGAAGTTTCTCTGTGATAAACCTGCAAACGAGTGATTGACGTGAACTTGTGAGCTCAGAGGTGCTGATTGCTGCAGCGCTGCTCTCGTGTCCTGTTAATATTCCTCAGATCTCTAATCGCCTGCTGATTGGTCAGATCTGTTAGTCTGAGTTACCAGGGAGAAGCTGTAATCTCTGACTTGGGTTTGAGGTTTTGTTGAACCTGCCACAGCCGGAGGCCTCCTCTACGAACACGTCACCTGCTGACGTTTAATGAACGAGCTTCTTGAAAAAGCGACTCCTGCAGCTCCTCTCTGCTAGAAACGTGTTTATTTTCATCCGGTAATTATAACGACAGCATTAGGCTCAATAATTTTATCTGAAAGCTTTTTCAGCTCTGAATGTTATAACGAACCAAACGTTTGAGTCTCAGACGGCGGTCTGGAGGGGCTGCTGTGGCACACACTGTGACTCTGTGGATTTCATTGTTTTTTTGATCTAAAAAAGTGATTCATCTTAAAGACATCTCCCTCCAAAGCGGAGCTCACCATCTTGGCGGCCTGAGCTTCTCCTTCGGCCTGGATGATCTTCTGCCTCTGGTCCTGTTTGGCCTTCTCCACGTAGAACTGAGCTCGCTGCGCCTCCTGCTGGGCTGAAGAGGAACAAACAACAATCGTTCACCCAGCAGGCCAACGACCTTTTATGTGACTCTTTTTATAAGCTCACCACTCCGGTTTAATCTGGGTAATGTACATATTTAGCTTTAGGTCACAGTGAGTCTCCAATAAACTGAAATCATTTCATTCTCCACACGCTGATGATAAACCAGCCGTCAGGTGGACGCAGTAATCGAGTCCTCGGGGTCAGAAATTCAGCCCGATGCGGCTGCAGGACAAAGACCGAGCGACTCTTCACTCACCGACTTGTTTGGCCTCCACGGCGGCCGTGTACTCGCGGCTGAAGCTGAGCTCGGTGATGGCCACGTCGTCCAGGATGATGTTGAAGTCTTTGGCCCGCTCAAACAGCTCCCTGCGGATCAGCATGGAAACCTGCAGGAGAGAGTCAGACAGACCTCAGTGTCAGATCACTAACAGTGATCATCAAGAACTCTGAAATATTCAGTTTATGTCGAGCTGCAGGACCAGTCAGGACTTCTGACTGGTCACCAGAGCGTAATGGTGCACAGAGCCTGAACCAGACAGTGAAGCTTTCAGGTTACCAGTGGCACCAGGATCCAAGCCTCCCCTGAGGTCATGACCCCGGCTGAAAGGCCGAGGTCGCAGACACAAACAGCCAAAATAAGCTTCCTCCACAGGGCGTCTGAGCTGAGCTCTCAGACACTCTAAGGAGCTTACACCCAGGGGAGCTCAGAGTGGAGCTGCACCTCCACGAGCCGAGCCGGTTCAGGTATCTGATCGGGGAACAGTCGGGGTGCCTCACCTCGGAGGTCTAAGGACCTCTGGAACAACCACCGCACTGAACTGCAGCCCAGCTTTGGGTTATCAGACGAAGAGGCACAGGCGACCCGCAGAGAACTAATGTGATGTAACAGCTTCCATCATATAATTATTTTGTTTTTTGGACTGAGATCCTCCTCAGGTGCGTCTGTGTGACCCCACATCACCACACGACATTAACCCTTTGAAGCCGGTCGGAGCAGCACGCTCTGTTTTGCGTAACTATTTTTAAATCCCTGTAGAACCGGAACCACGTGAGCTAGCGCAATAATAGTTTTTGCACATGAAGCCGGAGGAGTAGTACTTACATCTGACGCCATCAGCTTGTGCTCGGTCACGGTTTCCTTCCACACATAGTTTTGCAAAAACAGCATAAAAAGCACTTGCAGCAACAAAAACAGAATATTCCAGAAACACGCTTTGCTGATCCGATCAGCTGTTCGTAACACTTCCTACGTTGGAACGATCGCACGTCCGCCATGACCTGCCCGAAACCCGAAGTGACGTCATTTCGCGGAAAATGTAGTTTTTTACCTTCCGGGTCTTCTGAGCCTAAACTGCTGTTGTTAAAACTCGTGTTTGACTTCATGCTTTTCTGTGTCGTTTCTGTGATGCAGAGCTGGAAATCGTTTCTTTTGATGCACGTGCTGGTTTATAACTATAATATTTATTTTTGTTTTTCCTGCAGTATATAAAAATTGGTGTATTTCAAAAATAAAACTATGCAGACACTCAAAATAAACTTCCTGTGGTGGGAAACTTCTTTGTATTTACAGTTTTGAGGGATAAACCTCTTAAATTTCTCTAACTAGAAATATATGTAAAAAGAACTAAAATGATTTTCAAGTTTTTTGTAGTTTATTGCACTTTTTTGCAATTTTTGTAGTTACTGTGGACTTAATGCAGACATATCATTAAAATTGGGGCTGTAACGGTTGTATTGATGTAAAGCAACTTGAAACGCTCCCACAAATGGCTCCACAGCAGGTAAGAATATAAAGATCACTGACTTGGTTCTATGGCAGGTCTTAAAGGGCTAAACAGATTCAAACTAAGCACGCCGCTCTGGGGGCGTGTTCGTACCTGCGCTCTCTGCGTGATGAGCTGCGATGCGTTGAACTTGGCCACCACGCTCTTCAGCACCTCGTTGACGATGGAGGGCAGCACGCGCTCGTCGTAGTCCTGTCCCAGGTGCTGGTAGAGGACGGGCAGGTTGGACGCCAGCGGCCGGGACAGAACTCGCAGGGAGACGTTGACCATCTGCAGGTCTGAGACAGAACCAGTCAGAAGCTGAACATCTGTGACAGCTGCTGACTAACCAGCCGTATCTCTGCTGAGCTTCACACGACTGCACTTGTTTGAAGCTCATGATTCTGCACAGGCTCCATTCACACCTCGGATTCGTCAGCGAGTTAAACCAGCTTTGTTTTTATGTGAAATAACCCACAGATGGCCCCAGTAACGTACTGGGGCCATCTGTGGGTATGTTCTTACAGTTTATAGGCTTATTCCAAGTCTCCAAACTGTTGACTGAACATATCGATCTACTGTTTCATTGATTATCTGAAACCAACCAGCTGTTATATGAAAACAGTGAAGTGTCTGTAAACACATGAAAACATGACGCTGCACCTGTGGAGTTTCCAACAATGCTGAGAAGCAGCTTTACTGACACTTAATGATTAAAAGCTTAATCTAAGACTTGGAGGACAACCTGATGTGTCCTCGAGGCTGCAGGACTCAAAACTGGACTCGTTTTCCTCTAAAACCAAACACGTCCACAGACGGTCTTCAGTTATACGACGGAGGCGTCTGACCTTTGCTTCCAGTGAGAGAGGAGATCTTTCTGGGTCTGGCTCTGATGTCATAGATGATGGGATACTGAAACCAGGGCATCCTGAAGACAGACACAGAATCACATCAGTTAGTTTGCTGATCTGTTTTTTCTGCATCTGTAAATCGATTTTATTAAACTAATGCTGGAATCCTCAGGTGTTGGGGGCTGCACCTTCACGTGCATCTACTCTGCAGGACTTCTTTTAGTGCCGTTTCATGGAAAGGAAGAAAGTCGGACGACTGTTTGGCCCTGAAAAGCCTGCTGCTTCACCAACACTGATCCGTTAAACTCAAAAAGGAAAAAACTATTTTCATAAATCAACTCAGAAAAGGTCAAATTTAGAAAATGAGATTAGAGAGCCTGAGATGTATCGAGGGGCCGCTGATAAAGATTTAGAAACAGAGCACACGGAGCAGTGAAACAGAGAATTAAAACACTTTCTGACCGTTTTACAGTCCCGCCCACACCTCCAAACAGCCACGCCCATTAATATGAGCCAACACGCAGCATCAGTCACCAGTCAGTACGAGCTGGTTGCTATGGTAACAGTGTGGGTGTGGACTCGTACCTGAAGTGGAGTCCCTCGGAGAGCACCGTGTCCATCTGCATCCCTCCGATCCGGTTGAAGACGATGGCCCTCTGACCTCCTTCCACTGCACACAGGAGACCAACCTCAGACTGAAACCTCAGCTCTGTTCTTCAGTTTCTGCTAAACTGACGGAGCCGTTTCCACCGGCCTGAAGCTCCCACTCAGGAACATGAACCACAAACAGACCTGTCAGCACAGACCTCTCTGCTGTGTGAACGTCACAGCAACGATGCGAATGACATCGCTGCTGACACTTCAGCCTGTTACACCGAGATTAAAACAAACTTCTGATACCTTCACCTGGTCCAGAGGTGGACGTTCACGTTAACGTGACCAAAGTTTAACATGTGGTCAGTAACACCTGAGAGTAGAGCTGTTGGGGATGACAATATAAAAACGTCGTTTCCTGTCACGCTCTTTTGTTTCGTGGTGTCGTAGAATAAACTACGGCACTGCAGTGGCTACATTCATTTGTTAAAGTTCTCTCTTTCTCTTATATTTAATATAACCACACTACAGACGGACAAGCGCCTGTTTTTATGCGTTGTCGTTAGCAACGACGACGGTAACAGCATCAAGTGGCTCCGCTGTCCGCTTGTTTGTTTTCCACGTAAACCTTTCACAATAAAGCTCAAGATCCTGTTGAGACTTTTCAGAATAAACTGAATCACGTGAAAGATGCAAAGTGTTTACGGAGGAGAAGCAACAAAGAGCCGCCAGGTGCTAAAGAATAAACCTTAGACTCAAACTTTGAAAGAAAACGGCGGCCGTTACGACTTATGTCTGAAAATGTTTCATGCATCAGTTAAAACACTCGACTCCAGCTACACGACGCCCAGCTGGAAACACTTCACGCAAGTCGAGCTGCCCGAGATTCACAGAATTGACAGAAAATGTTACATTTTTGTGATTTATATCGTTGTCAGGACGATAAATGTCTTTTATCGGGATATGAGACTTTGGTCATATCGCACAGCCCAGAGAGTCTAAAGCTCAGACTGCTCTAAATACTCAGTTTCACGCAGTTTTTTCCTGCTCTTGGACCTTGATGATGTCATAGAGAGACCTTACTGTAAACGTGGTCAGCTCATGCACAGAAGTTGGCTTTAAGCGAAGGTAAAACAGCTTCTTACAGACAGCTGAGGAGCACCGAGGCCTGCGAACTGGGACTCAAACTAAGCTGCTCTAATAAAAATATAAAACATGGATCTGAACATGAAAGACTTTAATTAAACAGTGAAGATGTTTTAGATTGTAGTTCGTGAGACAAGATGAAAACTAATACAAGCACAAAGCTGTGGATTTTCTCTTTTACCACCATCAGCCTGAAGGTTCCACAGATACAGGAAAGGCCCGTTTCCATCCTGCTGAGCTTTAAACATTAAACGTTTTTCATATAATAAAAAACAGGCCGTTAGCACCAGTGCTTGCAGGTGGAGCAGACTTTGTGTGGCTGCCTGCTAAAAACCATTTAGTGAGTAAATACTTTGTACGTATTTAATCACTTCTTGTTTCACAAGCCTGAGCCGACCACCTTTAGACGCAGAACTTACATCATCCTCCGTCTGTGTCTGGCTGGGTAACAACTGCAGCCCAACTCCACTTTTCCTTAATCAAAGCTGGAAACTTGCAGAGCAGCTGCAGGCGATCCCGTATTTTGTATCAATGAAGGACAGAATCGAGCTTCGAGCCTGTGCCACAGACACGCTTTGAGAAAAGGTCTCTAAAGAACTGTCACACTAAATATGACAGATTACGCCAGGAGAGTGGGAGTGTCAGGGATCAGAGCTGTGCTGAATATTCATGCTTTCACAGTGACTGAGGGTTACCTGTGTATGTGGCTTCCTTCACTGTGTAAGCCAGAGCTCCAGCACCAATCAGCAGCTTCAAGCCGAGTCCTGCGCCCCGAGGTCCTGAAGACATCCTGCCTGCGATCTGCCGCAGCTGCTGCAGAAAACCCTGAAACAAGGATTTCAGTAAGTCTCCCCGTGCTCGCTCACGCAGGACACTCATGGTTAAAACTCAGTGACCTTGACTCTGAGTGGACAACCCCCCTCCCTGTATATCTACAAGGCCTGCATGCACCCGCCACAGACACCTCGTTAGAGGACGCTCAGATTCTCTCTAAAAATAAACTGTTTTAAAAAAAGCAACAAGGATGCTAATAACAAGGCTGGACACGTCTGATCACCTGTCTGAACTTTAAGGACTAAGTTTAAACTCGGCTCATGCAAAAAGCACAAAACATAACTCGGCTTAAAGAGAAGCAGCTTCTTTGGTTTGAAGCACTAGCTGCGGGTTAATTAGCCTGCGTAACATCAGGGACTGCAGACTCACCTGCCTGCACGCCTGATGCACCTGAGTGTGTTACGCATGCGCAGAATTAAGTAACTGCTTCTAGAAACTTGCAATATTTTCAGTGAATTTACTTCTAATGCGTATACATGTGTTAACAACTCAATTATTTCATAATTGAGAGAGTTTTAAAGGGACCCCGGCGTCATGCTCGACTCACACTCTCTACCTGAGTGTAAAGCTAGCTAGCCGGCATCGAGTGGCTCTCACGGCCTCACCTGTGCCTCATTAGTGCCGTCAGGCTGGATGGAACCTGGCTGACATGGTTTCGAGTGTAAACCTGCTTACATCAGACTCACGTGTCAGACCTGAAAGCTTTTAAAATGTCACCCAGGTGCGTGCAAAGCGCGGGAAACCCGGAGCGGTTGAACCTGAGCTGAAGGCAGAAAACTTCCCTTTAAAGCCGAGTTTAAACGGGAGACTCACAAACACTCACCCCGGGATCTTTATTCGCCATGCTCGTCCTCTCCGCCTGTTAGAAAACCAAGTGAAGAAGACAAGGTCGCAAGTGATGACGCGTTTCCGGGATTGTGGGGTAACTTGGGAAATGTAGTTTTTAAGAGTATTGGGGCATAGTCTCTATGTGTATATATTTAAAGATAATAAAATGTTTTAAACCCACCCAAAGTTCCGAGGGTGGAAATTAAGGATTCGCTTTTCATTTTTGCCATAATCTACAAAATAAAAGCAAGAATGATTGTGAGCTATAAAGTACAAAGTTATAAGAGGTAAAGACAGAGTACAGCGTCTGGTCTCACGGATGCAGTGATGCCGGTCCTGAGCAGCAGGGGGCAACAGAGGGCAGCAGAGCTCCGGGGTGTCGGCGGCTCCTCAAACCGCAGGAGCACCTGCTGCACATAAAACGGTTATTTTCACACTGAAGTTCACTCAGGTCTTTGTTTCCGTGGTTTGAACACAGTGAAGTCAGCCACTGAAATGTTTCCGTTGTGCTTTCAAGAAGAAATTTTGCGACAGAGTTCAAGGAATTAACATCAAAATCCTGCTGCTGTGCACACAAACTGGACATGTTCACTCACCTTCCTGTAAAGGATGAGAAAAAGTTAGTTCCACATTTTAAACCAATACTAGTCAGAATAATGACGAATAACAATCATATAAAAGTATTTAAAAAGCAATCAGAAAATAAAGGCTGACACTCAAATAAAAATGTGACCTTCACTAATATATTACACTGTCATGTTTAAGCTTTATTCTGTTACACTGTTATCACTACGGGTCAACACACATCAATAAAAATAGCACTGCTGACTTTTCTTATCTCTGCCCTGCATCTGTATTTTTTACTTCCTTCCAAAAATGAAACTTAAAGGCACAATTATGAGCTGAGGTAAAACTATGACTTCGCAAATCAAGCTAACGAAGCGACGTATAAAGGATAAATAAACTGGACATATTTAGAAAAATCATTAAACAATTAAAATTGGGAGTTAATAAAAGTAGAATCTAAAACTCTTACATCTTTAGAAACAGAAAAACGTAGCTTTTTATTTGAAAAGTGAGGAGGAAGCTCACACCTGCTCTCTTCAGTCTTTGAAACAAGCTCAAATCTCAAACAACTAAAATCAAGCAAAGAATTCAGATCATAAAAAGGAAACAGACACACCCCTAAAAGCACAAACTTTAAGCCTTAATGCAATTTAAACAGTTGTGTTATAAAAATTATGACATCTGTGTAGATGTTATGAAGGAGAAAATGATCTATAAAGACAAAGAAAAGTATCAGGCTGTGAACACGCTTATTTCTGCTGTAAAATTTGAACATGGGAGTCCCTGCTGGAGCCGCTGGTGTTGGTGTTTTATTTTTCAGCCTCTGAGGGTCACTGCTGAGAAGACTCACTCAGCAGAGAACAGACTGAGAGCATGCTGTAGGTATTACAGGTACTGCGCTGCAGTGGTTTGTATCATATCTATCTAATAGACTCCAGTTTGTGCATGTAAATGGAGAGTCCTCTTCACACACTGAGGTTAATTATGGAGTTCCACAGGGTTCAGTGCTAGGACCAATTCTGTTTACATTATACATGCTTCCCTTAGGCAGCATCATTAGAAGACATAGCATACATTTACACTGCTATGCTGATGACACCCAGCTCTATCTGTCCATGAAGCCAGATAACACACACCAATGAGTTAAACTGCAGGAATGTCTTAAAGACATAAAGACCTGGATGGCCGCTAACTTTCTGCTTCTTAATTCAGATCAAACTGAGGTTATTGTACTCGGCCCTGAAAAGCTTAGAAATATGGTATCTAAGCAGATTCTTCCTCTGGATGGCATTACCTTGGCCTCCAGTAACACTGTGAGGAACCTTGGAGTCATTTTTGACCAGGACATGTCCTTCAATGCACATATTAAACAAATATGTAAGACTGCTTTCTTCCATTTGTGCAACATCTCTAAAGTTAGAAATATCCTGTCTCAGAGTGACGCTGAAAAACTAGTTCATGTTTCCAGGCTGGACTACTGTAATTCATTATTATCAGGAAGTCCAAAAAATTCGCTGAAAAGCCTTCAGCTGATCCAAAATGCTGCAGCAAGAGTCCTGACAGGGACTAGAAAGAGAGCAGATTTCTCCTGTTTTGGCTTCCTGTTAAATCCAGAATTTAAAATCCTGCTCCTCACATACCAAGTACTGAATAATGTCTGTCATGGCAGATGACCGCCCCTCCCTGAGCCGTGTTGTGCTGGGGATTACTTCCTTTTAAAAGGGTTTTTTCCTTCCCACTGTTGCCAAACTCTTGCTCATATGATGTCATGTGATCTCTGGGGCTTGTTCTCTATTATTATAAGGTCTTAACTTACAATATAAAGTGCATTGAAGCAATTGCTGCTGTGATTTGGTGTTACACAAATAAAATTCAATCAAGCTAAATTAAACTGAACAGAACTGAATTGACACTCTTGAGTCTTCCGGTTTTTTCTGCTTTTCAGGAGCTATTTTTCTTCTTCATTATCGTGACCACAGAGGATCTGAGTGGGTTGAACTCTTTGCCCTACTCCTCGCAGTCTCATTAATCAACAAGAACATGTTCGAACAGTGTTTTTCTTCATCCTGCTCCTCTTCTTCCTCCTCGTCTGCCACCTCTTGCTTGCAACTTCCTCCTCTGCCTCTCAGTCTGGGTCCACCAGCTCACCCCAAACTTTAAAAAGGCAACAAGTGTGAACATTTCTGTGTCATTGTGTGAAACTGAAAGAAAAGGCATCTGTGCTGACACTTCATCGCCCGTCAGCTGTGGTCACTGTTATGCATTACAGTGCAAAATGTCTGCTGTTTAAGGAGAATGAGTGTAAAGTCCTGCAGAGGCTAAGGAGAGCTACAGACGACTGAGAGGAGGATGAGGTTTAAATTAGGATAAAACTAAATGAGCCACAAAGCAAAAAGAGTCATTTAAAGTGGATCATGTGACACAGCATGTGGTTATATGATATTTAGGTGAAAATGAGCATCCAGGTGTTACCCAGCTGTCAGCCTATGAGGCTCCAGCTAATCGTGACCCTGGAACTGGAATCGTGGTTAAGAAAAGAAAACGGACGTTACAGTTGAAAATGATTAAAAATGCAAACTTTTGATTTGCAAAAACATACCAAGTGAATAGTTTTCAAATATAGTTTATGGAATATTATGAAAAAGTTGCTTCACCACACCGCCCACGGTGCCTTGTTGTGCTATTTAAAGATGAACTTAGATTCTTGTGGAGCTTTTTGACATGTAGCGTCCATCAGTCCATCCCAGCTGTCACAGGCAGAAGGCGAGCTACACCCTGCACAGCTCACCAGCTGAGCTAACAAGCACGTCTCTGCAGTGTGGGAGGGGAACAGGCCACACAGACACCACCAACCAAGACCTCCACGCTGGGAACTTATAGCTTCTATAGTTCCTCTAGACTTTCTGTAACGTGTTCTTTCTTACGTTTCATCTGTTTATGCTCTGATTGGTGGATCCGTGGTCAGGCTATGAACACACCTTAAAGATTCAAACACACCGAACAGTCAGTCGAAATTTGTGGACAGATTTCAGCATCAGCGTCTTGCTGCCTGCTTATATTCAGGACAGCTGTGATATTGTAAATGAGACTTCTTATCGAGACAAGATAAACCTTTATTAGTCCCACGCATGTGAAGTGGACATTTCAAAGTTGAGAGCAGCAAAGATGAAGAAAAACAATAGAATAAAATAAGATAAAATAGAATAAAATAATAAAATACTGACCAAGAATCCACCAATCAGAGCACAGAGATTAAAACACATGATGCCATAAACGAGTCTGTAGTTACTGTGTGTTTTATAAGTTTTGTGGAGTGATGGATGCAGAGTGCTTCGTGTGCGCAGCAGAGACACAAACACGCGGCTGACTGACGGAAACGATGTTTTTATGATTTCTTCGGGCAGCCTGGAGTTTTTATAACTCTGCTGTGACGTCTCCGTGACGATGGTTGTGATATAAAACCTGTGGAGCTACTTTCTGGTGATGCCTGGTGTCTGTGAGACTGCAGCAGTGCGCAGACTCGTGCCTCGAGGCTCTGCTTTTGTGCTTTAGTTGCACCGGAGCTCGGGTTGCCTCCGTCGGTCGACCGTGAGGTTGCAGCTGCAGTTGCTGCCGTCACGGCTCGCTGATTGGCTGCTCGCTCAGTTCCTCCTGAGGAAATCACTCCTTTTATAGTTAACGGAGTGCCGCGCGGTTGTTTTCCGGGTTCACACTCGCGCAGCATGTAGAGGAGGCGGACCGCCGGGAGACACCTGGACCACCGCGGACACACCGGAGCCCGGACGCACGGCATCGATCCGCAGCTATCGATCAGCTATCAGTGAAGGTGAGGAGGGCAGAGGGGGGCCGTGTTGTGGGGAGAGGGAGGGTGGTGGTGGATTTGCAGGGAGGAGGGGGGCGACCAGTGCTCTGGGTGGATCCTGGTCTCAGATCAGACATGTCAAGTCCTGCAATCCGCAGACTCCGAGAAAAACTCCGCAGGGTAAAAAGTTCCTCTTCCTGCAGCCGCAGCGCCTCTGTCCGCGGATCACGGCTCAAATCCGCCTCAGCGCCAATCTGGAGCTCCGTGGCGCTCCGGGCGAAGCGGCGTGTGTGTGCCGCGGGGAACGAGCCGCTCGGTTACGCGTTTTTACGCAGACAGAGCCGGAGCCGCTGGCACGCGCTGCTTCCGGTCAGCCCGACTGTCGGGCGGCGCGAGGAGCTCTGTGATCACAGTTTGACGCAGCAGACGAAGCTCCTGAAGCGGGCTCACAGCTCTGAGACTCCCTGAAAGAGGAGCAGAGTCTTCGCTGAAAGTGCGGAGGAGAAAGGAGAAGCGCGCACTGATGAGTGAAACTGTCAGCATCATCATGGCCGACTCTGCACAGCAGCTCCGTGTCAGCTGCACATCACTGTTTATGGATCCTGATGGAATCCAGTTAAACTCTTACTGTTTAAAGCTGTGTTTGAGCTTCATTTATCAAACACGGGCGTAAAACCTGACAACCATCAAACAGCAGACACGTTCAATCCACTGATCTTCACCAAAACA